CGACCGTGATGAAAGAAGGCAGGTACAGTAGGAAGATGTGAAACTAAAAAATTCAAGTTTGGAGTGGCAAGTGGCAAACAATATCTCTACACGGGTCCGTGCAGAGGAATGTTTTGCTACGAACTTCCTCCTCCGAGGGTTTGATCGGAACTCAGACAACCATAGACACGAAGAAATGGTTGATTCGGAATTTATTGGGGTTTATTTCGCGGCCAAACGGTATTGCCGGGGAAATGATTTTCCAGCGGAGGTTTAATGCAAATTTTGGTTTTTCTGAAACATCACGCTGGTCTGCTGCCGTCGGTCCGTTCCTCCGAAACCTCAAACACGTGAAAGTGAGTCCGTGCAATTTCGGCGTTCCGATCGGAACGAGGAAACGTTTTCGCAGTCTGATATTTCACCACCACGTTTCGGCGTTCGGATCCGAACACTGGGGCGGTTTGGCCGTCTGGTTTATTTTCAAGTAACTTGAAACATTTATCCACTATTTCCACGCCTGTAATCGGACACGTGTAGGGCCAACAATTTATCGGCTCACACACCCGCCCACACACCCACACGCTTTACCCTCGCGCTCCGGGTCCCCAAGTACGGCGATAACCTCGTATGAAGTTCTTCAAGGCCGCCGTTCCTGTTTCCAACAAGAGCAGTCATGCCGGGCTTGCAGTCGCTTTGCCCATGCGCGTGAAGTTTGTTTTATCGAAGGGCCTCGCATTTGTTAGGGTTTTCCGCTCACTCAACTGGAACCGAAGCCCAACCCTGACCTTTCCTAACACGCGGTGACCTCTGCGGCAGATCGCCACTTGATCTCACAGGAGCAGCTGTAGTGTGCACTCTTCATATTGCTGCTTGCTGCTGTCCTGCTGCGCAAATTGTACTCCACTACCTCATCACCGCCGTTGCTTCCCAATCCGCCGATGGAACTTCTCCGCAAACTCTTGCTCCCTTGGCCACTGCTGTACGATTCGATCCCGCGCATCAAACCCCAGATTCCCTTCGTTAAATCTTACACGTTCGCGTGATGAGACGAAACGTTTCGGCCAATTGTTGTGCGCCGACCAAATTAAATATAGACTGTTGTCAATACGAAAGTTTTTCTCAATCGTCGGGAGTGGCTGATTGTGGATGACGAGAAGACAACGTTGAGAGTACCTCCTCGTGATGTCGTCTTGACTGCCGTAGTACAACGAGGTGCTGCAGGTGGAGAGGTTCATTTTCAAATCACACAAGGAGGAAGTGGAGGCTGATAGCATGCGCACGGACAAACGGGACAGCAACAGTGCAGTCGGACCGAAGATCGAGACGACGAACGAGTGTGCGTGGGGGGGGTGTACTCATAGTCGTGCATGCCGTGGTCGTTAGGCCATTGACTTGGATATCCCTACAAAGCCGGGACGGAGCACGCCGGATTCTCACCGGACCAGGCTCGCACATCACCATGCACGAAGCGCCGTGAGGTATTCGGCGAGTCACATGAAGGGTGCGCTGCATCCTGCTAAGGGTGTTCGACAGCTTGTGCTTACTTCCCTGCATACGGATGACAGCTGCGAATGACTTAGTATATTTTCTGGTGCTCTACTTCCAGAGACAGTTGTAAGAGCTGGGCAACTGCCTCGAGGGTGCTTGACCATTTTAACACAACGTGGTGCGATCATCCCCCTTGCGCGGAGTGAGGGTTATCGACCCCGCACACCATGATCTACTCGACCACCATTATGGCTACCGCCACAAAAAAAACAGAGGTGTAAAAACATACGGAAACCTGGTTGCCAAGTTCACAAAGTGAATTGGCTTGTTTTACAACGTCGTTGCCAAGCGACGAAAACTCAATCCCGACGGCAAACACCGAGGGGGGGTGTGCGGGGGGGCAAGAAGTGTCGCAAGGTTCGGTTAGAGCACACGACGGCACCTGAGGTGAGCAGGACAGAGACGGCGGAACATATGGATAGATATTGTGCCGGGCTGATTATTGGGGGAGTTGGCAAGAGCACTGGTGATATTTTCCCCTGTAGTGTCAACCCCCCACCCATCATTGTCTTATTTCTCATTGATGATGGTGTTAGTTGTTGTGTGTCTGTATCAATTCGTTTTCTTTTTTGATGTGTCCAGTGGGGCGGCCTCAGAACCACGCTTACGCGTTCTTGTCAGGTAAACGTGTGTCAGGAGAAGAAGGACTTTGCCGGTGTATTGCAACCCCGCCGGCGAAAACATCCCGGCCGAGCAGGGGTACAAGGATAGATCCAGGCAGTTGATTGGTGATGTTGTTCTTGTACTCTAATTCTGTTATTTACTGGGTTGCTTCAAAAACGCGTGCCGAGCGCAAGCGACGAGCTCTCTTTCTTTGTCTGGGTCGGGTCTCCCTCTCTTCTGTTTCCCACTGGACTACCGTACGCGGTTTGACTTTGGTGGCAGAAGATTTTTCTTGAATCTGCCCACCACCCAAATACCGGATGCAATCACAAAAGATTGGCGAGGGGGGGTGTACTCATAGTCGTGCATGCCGTAGTCGTTAGACCATTGACCTCGCATCCCTACAAAGCCGGGACGGAGCACGCCGGGTTCTCACCGGACCAGGCTCTCACATCACCAAGCGCGAAGCGCCGTGAGATATTCGGCGAGTCGCATGAAGGGTGCGCTGCATCCTGCTAAGGGTTTTCGGCATCTTGTGCTTACTTCCTTGCGTACGGATGACAGCTGCGTATGACTTAATTTATTTTCTGGTGCTTTCACTTCCAGAGACAGTTGTAAGCACTGTGTAACTGCCTCGAGGGTGCTTGACCATTTTAACACAACGTGGTGCGATCATCCCCCTTGCGCGGAGTGAGGGTTCTCCACCCCGCACAACATGATCTACTCGACCACCATTATGGTTACCGCCAAAAAAAAGAACCGGAGGTAAAAAAAAAAAAAAGGTAACTTGGTGGCCGAGTTCACGAAGTGAATTGGCTTGTTTTAC